TATAATATAGTGTTGTCGCCAATAAGGAATTACATTTAAAATTCTTAAAATAAAATCCGTGGTCGTATTTCTTCAACGATTTTGATAATTCTCAATGGTCATTCAAAAATATTCTCTGTACTACATAAACTTATTAATGGCAATCACTGGCACAAGTGTTTGATTTCACTTTTAAACCGAAAGGTTTAAGAAAGTAGGCGGAAAACGCGGAAGTGTACCTATATTTAAACGTACCTTTTTATAATTTACTAACCATTTATATACTAATAGAAATGACCACAGATTATACGTGAACACCAATTTCATTAAACGTTTACAAGAACATACCTATATTGTTTACATAGGTACGTTTAGAGTGCACCTCGTTGATTAGAATAGGGACAGTAAAGTGTCCCTTTACTTTTAATTAAAATTGAGGTCGAACGGAAAACATTCAGTGTACTTTGAGACGGTCAACAAACAACCGTCTGCAACGAGTATATTTTATACATTTTTAAATTAACTTAAACTTAATTCGTTTGCACTGGTTGATGCCGTTTGCTATCAAAATAGTTGGTTCTTTTTTAACAAGTCGATTTGCATTAAAGTTGAACTTGGATTGAAGTTCCAGATTTGTGTGCTGAAATTACTAATTTGATTTAGATTAATGTTTAAATAATACACCACTCAAGTCTATTTTAGGAAAAAGTTTACGTCAGACTAAAATAAGTATCCAATCCAAACAAACTACTGACGCAGTTCATAAGTAGATTATACAGAATCCTACGCTATTCCCCATACAGATACAAATCCAAGATATTAATATCAAAACCACATCAAAATGGCAGAGCACAAGTTGTACGCATTGCTCACTATATCACACCTCTAGCCTTTTCAAAATGGATCATCAAAGTTCTGAGTATCCTAACAACAATTAAATACTGTTAGGAAACTATTTAGCATTTCTAATATACCTAGTACCTACTTAATACCGGATACCGGAATACTACTAACTTTTGTGCCAGTATCTTTAGAAAATAAAATAGAATCTATGCTTAATCTATAAGTTTAGTAATAAAGAAAGTAATCTAATTAAAGTTCTATAAAGATTTGGTTTATTACCCAAGGAATCGAGGATATTTCCTTTTTATTTTTCAATGGTTTATCCAGATTGAAATGAACCTATTATATAATTAAATTAATGTGATGCAACGTTTCATTTCTTTACTATCAGTTTCTTAAAATAAAATCTTCATTAACAACATATTTAATTTCCAGCACCTACCAAATACATACATATATTTAACTTCAATTTTCTAATTCCTACTGTGAAATACAATATCGAATATTGTAATCAGTCTCATTTGCTATCGGTGAATTCCGAGAGATTCATATCGCTACCGGATACCACTGAATCATTCACCCGAAGGATCTTATAACTTGTCAACATTATATTGAGATGTATCCATTGTCGCGAGTTAACGCTTGACACGGGTCCCAAAAATTACCTTCGTTCATTTATAATGAGGGGATCGAATTCACAGATATATTTGCTTGTCATTTTTTGCTTTAAGAATAGGTACGTTCTCTGTTTACTTAAGATTTATTGAAGACGTTTTATATTAGGAGGTCAACAACCGGTACAAGGAACTTGTTACTAGGAAAGATTGTTATCATCGTTTTTATTCGGATAACCATGCCCAAGTTACTACTAATCACAGAAAAACTTGTAATTAAAGAAGTCTTTCAACCGAAAGTGAAAATTTATCTGCGTGAAAGATCACGGAGACAAACTTACAAAAATGTCTTTCAAGCTTTGACTTTTCATTCTCAAACTGACTTACAATGGCTTCCACAGTAGAATGAATATTCAGACGCTCTTTAAACTGCATAGGGATTAGGGAAGAGAAAATATCACCACATGCGTCAACTTCCCTTCTGTAGATTACATCCGCAGATGTGTACATGTGTAAGCAACAACACTATCTATCATTTGTTTTTCTACCCACAAGACGCGACGTGGCTTCCTTTGAGAACAGTCGCACTATGAAAATATGGTAAGAATAAGATCATGTTCGATACATTACGATCCATTCGGTTGAACAGCGATAGCACTTGGGAATGTGTTAAGCAACCCATTTATTTATAAACATTATAACGCTGCTTTTAATAATATAAAAACAGTTCCTTTTGAACTTTTATTTTAAAGTGATCAAATCACGAGATTAATTTGGGGGCAACCTGTATTATACATGTATTATGTAAGGGATTTTGAGTGCCAATAGTAATCAAAACCTAAAATCCTACCTCATTTCTTATCACATCTACATATGCTTTGAAGCACAACGTTTGTTTGTAACAGCCCACAATTTTCATGAGCCAATATAAATAAACCCACGGTGTGTAGGCTGAAGGTCGATTAAATAACCCTGTGGACCCTGTAGTGGTAGGATGTCATCTCATCAATGATCTACTATTAATATCATAATAACCCTTGCCGTTGCTAAAATTTACGACCACGGCACAGTGTAAGATGCTGACGCATTCTCATTATCCCACCGATTCTCTATAGAAATTGTGCTAAGTACACCGACTTTGATTATGATTTAGTAAAAAATGGAGGATTTGAACGTAAATTACAAAATATTTCTAACATCTTCTGACTTAATTTTATTGTAGTGTCGACTAAACTTTGGATTCCTTAATAAATTCAAACTTGAATAAGTCTTGATGTAATCACTGAATAATAAATTTTGAATCTACTCGCCTTTTAAATTTCTCCAACGGAACACTCAACACAGTATTACATGTTTACAACAGGTGTCTTCAAACTGTACGAAGTAGTAAACAATGGTAGAAAGTACAATAAAATTACTGTAGGACACCATCAATCTTCCATCAGTCGTACCACACGTGCCACGGGAAATAAAAAAGATCAGCGCGTGGAGTACGCGGAAGCGAGACGTTTTCGTTTTTGCGACAAATGGAAACAAACCTAATCCACTCGACACTTCGTACTTTATTGAATGTATCCAGATCTTTACTATCAATACAAACTTCCAGTACTACAAAATTTATGAACATTAAAATGAGGTTGAATGACTTCAGGCAATCGCTACGAAAGTCGCCTACGACGCGTAGCAGATCGGCTACGAAATATTTTTGTTTAATCAGCTTAAACGCCAAAAGTTGTTAAAGGATGTTATTGTATAACAACTTAAATTCAAAAACTTTTAGAAAATCTTAATAATATTAATCTTACTAAAATTATAAAGTGATCTGATAGACGCTGAAACTTTTCTTAATAGAAGATAGTGGCTTACTCGTGCAGGTCCATCCCATTGCCACATACATCACACATGCTAACAAATTCATTACAGTGAGTAATTGACAATCTCCTGTTAATTGTGTAAGATTACGGTCATGTTTACTACAGTAGCCTATAATTTGTGTTCCAAATAAGATTTACTAATGATAGAACATATGCATAAAACACACACGGTTAATTACTTTGAAATAACTGGACACTGCTTCAACGCCTTTCTAAATAATTGCCATATAATAAACAAAGTACACGTTTATATGGCTAAATCCCTATTTAATAATAAAGAATAGTATATCAGTGTGTTTTGTACTTATTTCCCTGTGGACAGAAAGCTTTTAGGCGCAAATTAGAATCTTGATACTACTGGCCATTTTTACTTTCCCCCTGGGGAAAAAAGGTGTCAATGAGTACGCGAAAGTTATTTTACAAGAACGTGTTGCTAAGTAAATTAGCTGGACTGACTTTTAAAACTACTTAACTATGTACCACGCAATGTGATGAGCTTATTACCATTCTAGTAAGTGTTTCAACAGAGTGTTACTAATTAGCTGTACAATATTTTTTAAACGCTATCAATAATTTGTTGAACTCTAGATCTTACAAATAAAATGCAAAAAGTATATTTTGCTGTTGAATGTTTTATGTATTGGTATTTTCATTAGGTTAATTTTTTTAGTGCCCAACCATATTGTCTAACCGCTGTAGTTTTTTTTGCGAAGGGGAAATTCATTCAATGATTTTCCTGACCTTTACTGATTAAAAACCACCCCGTTCCTACTCCTGCACTTCGAGCTGAAGCTCCATCAACCCGTTAAGTCCTCCGCGGCTCAGTATCGTTATCAGCCATATTGGGCGTCATCTGTTGTGGTCTAACTGTAGCTATCCAGTGTATCAACTATCAACCATTAAAACTTCGTTGAACTTCTAAAGTAGTTATATACCTTCCTACCTATACATTTTTCCTTGTAAGGGCTGATCATTAGAAAGAAAACATGATATGCTGCGGTAATTATAACTTAAAATGAAGCTCGGATTCATTAAACTCTAAGTGAGAGGAAAGTTTATCTTGTACCTACCTTTTTATTTACTCTAACTTCTAAGTCAACCCTCTTGCAACATTGTCAGGAAATATCTTGGAAAATGTTAACCTCTGCCAATTAAAACTATAGTTACTTTAATTTTTTTTTCTACCGTTTATTGATATTCAGTTAGTTTCCAGAATGTCATATACTTTTACATTTTTGTGGTTTATTCAGAGTTATATGGTTGAACAAAAAGTTTTTACAATTTATGTTAAAAGCTAATTCTGCACTACAGTGTTCTAAAAATTTCTTATTATACACTCAGTTAGTAGAATTTCCAAAAAAGTTAAAACATATAATTATGCAAATATTTTCCTCCAGTCATACGAGTACAGTACAGATGCCAGGAACAAAGTTTACGATTAACCTACTTGATTGAATGTCAGGAAGGCTTCACTTTGTTATTGTGTGTTGTTGACGAATCTCTTCCGTGATATTATTATCTTTTGTTGTACAACATGCAATAATGTACTCCATATTTTATTTATACGGTTGAAACTAACCAGGTTTCCTCTACGTTACATTATCAAAGTGTCATTTAAATAAAACAAATTCAGACCTTTTCGAAAATTAAAATACCAGGTGTAAGTTAAACACTATATTTTTCCTCACAGGTACTGCCCAGGCGCAGTTAAGAGACGGCCGAGCACAAAGCCTGGACCTTCTCCGCATGCTCACTGACAAACCATGGATCGGACTCGGACCCCACAACCGCTGGGACAGGGCACCTCGTATTGACATGGATTTAGGATACACGGGCTTAGGACCTCACCTGCCTCCGGTACAGGTTGCTGAGGATAGGAATTACCTTGATGATGAGATCAGGTACGTTCGCAGAGTTGGAAGATAACATGAACTAGGTACTTGGTGCAATCCATGGAATCCAAACCGAATCGTATGATAATCCCTTGTGTACACTGAAGCATTTGTCCTTCTTTTAGGCAAAAGCATTAGCATTTATTTAATCGTGTTATTGTTCCCAGGGGCGTGTCAGAAAAGCGATCCGCCGTGGCGACAGCATTAAACTCGGGTCGCCGGAGACGGCAGCCGACTCCGGCGCTTGGTAAGGCAGTCACGCCGTATGTCGGCGTCGGTAAGCAGCCGGTCGCACCGCTATAATATCGTCGATGTTGTTACTAATCAGCCATTCTTCAAGCTTGCCATTATTTAATAACTAATATTTTAATAAACTGCTGAAGTTTACTGACGCCAGTATATCACACCACGATAGTGGAAAAGTCAGAGCATTTTCAAGATTTGAAGCACACTATGAAAATTAGTAATTTGTGATTTTGTTTATCACTTCGAAACACTACTGCCATTAAATTCGTTACTACCTTATACAAACTGTCAAACTAAAAATACCTATTTTAAATGTGCTTTAAAATATCGCTTTACTACATAAATCTATATTGAAATGGCAATCACAGTTTTATTGCAATGAATGACAGCCGAGACCGGTGTATGTCAATAAGCAGCTTACCTAGATGTCGTCCTTTTTCTACATACATATAAACATTTCTAAGTTTTCATATTGTAGAGACTGATACCCACTAACTTTAGGTACCTACTCATTGTTTCATAATCTGTTTAGATATAATCCAAATATCATAAACTGTACTCTTTTATGTACGTCCCTACAATCTGAAAACTTATGTATATGATAATTTTGTGTTTATCTATGTGTAGGGTAGGTACAGACAATAATACCCAACAATATAATTACTCAATGTTATCACTTTAATAATCCAAATGTTAATGTTTAAGTACTTTTATATGCCTCCCACATAGTCCAAGAAACCACACACTACTTAGATAAGTAGTAATTTCTTTACGTCTGCTTGAAATAACTTCATGACACGTCTCTATTATGAAGATATATATTAACACTAACACCTACTCGTCTACTTATTTCACTAATTAACCAGCAGCATAAAACAGTAAAACTACATTAATATGTCAAGAGTTACTTCATACTAAATACAGAAAGCACGCCACCTACTAAAAGTTCCTGTATAAAAGTATGCGGCAACGTATACTCAGATAGCAACTGTTGTCATGCATTAACTCTGCAGGCGTCTCTCGTATATAATAATGTATGCATTACAAAGTTAAAAAAAGTCTATATAATATACTGCTTTTAACTATATGATATAATATACTTATTTTTATGCTCACCTTACCTATTGACACCATTGAACAACAATATATCATATTACATAGCACGTAACATCATCCATTTTAGATGTTGATATAAACAAAAGGAAATACAATCTATAAGGAACTTTGAATGGACCCCTCTATCAAGCTTTAAGAAATATTTCATCATGATGATCCTTTAACTCGTCGAGTACCGGTTTTATAGACACAATTAAAGAACAATAGGTCGCGGTCACCGGTGACCGCTTGGTGTTTGACAGTTTAATACACACACCTTGTATTAAGTTATGATATTACCTAGCATTATTTGAAGTACCTATTTAAGTTGTATGTAAGTACTTAGTTAAGTTGGAGTAAGGATTGTAATAAGAATAACATAATAGGTACATTTTGTTTGGCATAGCTAGCTTTTTGATCAAGAGCCTTTCTATCTTGGAAACCCACGCTTTAATTCTATGTGTATTGAAACAGCAAGGATTAAAATCGGAACTAGTTATCTAGTACAAAACCCATGAGAATTTTCGAATGAATACCTACCTATAGCCAAAATACTTTTCCTGACCCTGACTGTTTATTATCTCGTTTGCTACCTCAGCCGATGACACGGCCGTGCCTTATCATTTTGATCTACTAAAGATTTTAAAGAATATCCGATTACCCAAACTCAAAAGGTTCACTTTTTAATCAGGTAACTTTAGGCTGATCAAGTCAAATATCTGACTGGCTCGTCGGCCGAGCAGTTGCAAACGCGATTAATCTAGGTTTTAGATTCCATACCTGGGTTAGGCGAAGTGTTTCGGAATTCCTAACAATATGGTAATGGACTTATAACTATATAATGTAACATTTCATATTGCTTTTGAGAATTTTGTGTGACTGAAATAAGTATACAGAGTACACTTTCGTCCACAGGCGTGCTAAATGACATGGGCTCATTCTTCGACTCCCTACGTGACAATCTGGAGACGCTGGTGTCCCTCTCGCCACAGGAACGCTCCACACTCTTCCAGGACCCACCGTCTGTTGTACCCGCACCGGCTTCCAGTAAGTGATTTACTAGTATTTACATAAAGGTACTAAGATCAAGATCCAAAAGTATACAAGATAGCTATTAAGATAACTGTGTGACTACGTACGTAGGTACTTGTAAAATGATTTCAAGCGTTGGACTATTGGACAAAAATAAACCTAATCTGCATCTATAAACTTCGCTAAATATCTATCTCTAGATTAATTACTGAACTAAAACACGTCATCCAAATCATTAACCTTGTTTATTAGTGTATTCAAAATTAGCTTCTAAGTACTTACAATCGTAAACAAATTATTCGGATAACAAAAATAACATACTTAAGGCACGTATCTACATAAACCCAGCTATTACATTATTATGCATAACTCGGTCTTATGGTACGATACAGCTAACACGTCTATAATTGACATGGTATTAATCTAATGTACGAGTATTCAATGGGAATACACAAAATCCTTCATTTATTTTATGAATATGTCCCATATATCAATATTGAGCCCACAGTCATATAGTATAATTTAAGTGTGGGAGAGCCACGCTTCGGCACGAATTAGCCGACCGGAGTGATACCACGGCCTCACAGAAAACCGACATGAAGCAACGCTTGCGTTGTGTTTCGTGTGAGTGAGGTTACCGGAGGCCCAATTACCCTTCCCTTCCCTAATCTCCCCAATCCCTGAATCCCCAACAATCCTCAAACTCCTAATCCCCAAAAGGCCGGTAACACACTTGTGTTCCAGGTGTCCATGGGCAACGCCGATTGCTTACCATCAGGTGATCCGTCAGCTCGTTTACCGGCGTATGCCATGAAAAAAAATCGTAGCTCCTAATTTATAGCAAAGTATATTTATTTATATACTTTAAGACGTTGTTAATCTGATTTAAACTAATTTTGTATACCACACCGTATATAAGTAGATACAATGTAATCAGAAGTGTAAACAACATGCGAAAACATTTCCATTCACACTATTAATAAATAAAAAAGTTTCGTTGGAACTCGTGTGCGATAAACTGACACAATGATGGCGTGAACAACTCTAGTGGGACGTTACTGTGCAGGCCGACTGCCGAGCTGTACAGCTAATTAAACTTCGGTGAAATATACTAACTATATAGGTATTTCCAAATGCACCTTAGGCATATGAAATTATAAGAAATTACAAGATAATCAAAATGACTAAATTGACCTCTTTTTCTAGTAACAATAGATCATTTTGTACTATGTAGTGACATCTCATATCCAACTCCTATAAACTGGGCAATACGAAGAAACACTTAGATTAGGTACCACCCTAGTGTTACCTCACTTTTAGAATAGACATAACATAGCATATTACGGCATATAATGCTGCACTGTACAATGTAACACCCACTTTTCACTCTTTATGTTATGAGTCCCATGTAATAGGGGGTGAGCCTGTTGCCATATACCGGGCACAATTTCAGACTCCGTGCTACTCGGCCAACGAAACAGTACTAAAGGGTACTGAAGAGTCTTTTAGAATAGATTAAATAGTGATTAGCTGTTTGTACAATAGACGATCAAATAATAGTCACATCATCAGAAAATATTAAAGTAAAGTAAGCCGTAATAAACATCGAAAAGCATTAACTGGCTATAGAGTTACGGAGAACTTATTTTTATGAACTAAAGTAACTAGCGTAGGAATAGGCAAGCGCGAACCAATTAAACTTTTCTATCAGATGGTACTATTTTCAACTCGGAAATTAGATAATCATGTCGGCTACAAGAAATGAGATTATACGACTATTCTTGTCGAGATAAAACTATATTTAGGTTCTGTAAATGGAACACTATTGGCATTTTATCATTGTACCTAACTTGGAAAGATTTTGAGCAAACACCACGTTTCATTCGTGTAGGATTATTTTAAAATTTTCCTATAACGACAATGTGGCTGAGTCTTATGACTGACTGAACGTTTTCAATGCTACTCGGAAGTTGGAACCCAATTTTGTATCCTTGTAATGTCAATGAACTTCCCTTTTTATGTAGGTACAGGTATAATAATGTAGGTTTCCTAAATAATAATACTAGGTGGAATTTCCATATCTATGTAGTCATTTGGGTACTTTTTTTATTATATCCTTGTTTATACAATAGTGATGGGGTACTTCTGAGGTCGTTACACCACACTAACTAAAACCAGTAACTAAACTGACCTTATTCAAGTTTACAACAAACAGTAATCTACCTCATTACCTTATGACACGCATTTTACACTTCAACGAGTTCCCTTATGTGACATGATGTTAAATATAAATGGGCATAACGTTTTCCGTAACTATAATATTCATGTTACCTGATACAAGCAATTAGGTACTACTATATCTAGTGTAAAACTAGAAGTGGTAAGGAACCATTCATTATAATACACTTAGATTAAATAAGATAAATTTAAAAATGAACGACAAAACTATCATAAAACTATTTCGTATTAAATGCAACAACACACTTTGGAAAGAAATAAATAAAATCAATATCTTCTTTAAAAAAATACAGTTCACAAAACTAACAAACATTCCATACTTATAAATTAAAACAAATACTTATACGTGTTTGCTTCATAATCTTCAGATCATTTATGTGGTTTCAGTCATGCCATTATTTGTAGGTATCTTAATAAAAAATATCTACACAAAACCTAATTGTCATTTGATAGCTTTTAAAATATCAACATCAATCATTTTGCAATCGACGCATTTTTTCTATGTACTATTAAAATATTGTTAAACCATTATATAATACTTTGTTTGTCCTTATAAACTGGAGACTATTTTATGAAAATCTATAATGCGGAAATAATTTTGTTGGCATTTTTGTAAGTAACTTCTTAAAAAAGCGTTATTCAAAGACATTGCGTTTGGAATCTAAACGTCAAATTCCAATGCTTATTGCCTAGAACTATTTAAAACTGATATCCATTTACAAATCAAAGGAATGTCTCTGACATACCTTTACAACAAAGTCCACCACAGATACTATCATAAAGTTGTGTAGGTACCTCTCAAACACATCATAATTCTCGTAGCGATAGCAACGACCTCATGCGTCACCATTGAGAACCACTCGGCCACGCTACCAGTATCTCAATTAGAATCGCTTAAGGATGGTACTTACCGTATCCTCCACGCCACGTCAATACTGCCGAGGGAATCAGGAAAATGGACGTAAACATCAAGCTATACAAGTCCAGCTTACCTTGGTCTCATGTTGTATGATCTTTCCAGAAATTCAACGGTCAGCTTATACTGGTACTTATAGCTTGATGTGTGTCGTGTGGACATTCCTCCGGAACTGTCAATAACGATGTCTATCAAATTGCAACAGGAAGTGGCCTTTGTATATGAACGAATCTCGACAATAATGTCCCTTCTAGTAAACTCCCACGTTACATCTGTGCTCGAGGTTTTTCTGTGATAATGTCGTAAAATTCTCATTATACCCGATAAAGTACACAATTTGATACCCTTGTCTCGTTTCGTAGATACGGTGTGAAGTTGACCACTCATCCCTGAATCTCGTAAACGGACCAAATTACAGGACACATCTGTTGCTATCGAGCCAATAAAATTATGTTATAAGCACGGCAGTAATAATATTCCGAGTAATTACCTGAACCTTACTTCCTTTTGGTAAAGAATTACTGAGATAGAAAAAAATGAGTAGGTAAATAAATATGATGAATTACTATCAGAAGAAGTTGGATACATATATGAGGGTAGACTTTATTCAACTCCCAACCTCTGTTTTACTAACAAACAGTGGTAAAATTAGAACTTTGGCGTCCATAGGAATTATTACAACGCTTTTTACAACATATATGTGAAGAAAAAATATTTATGTAACTACATTTATGTTGCAATGTTCTTAAAATCTTTATCAGAGCTAAATGTCAAAAACTAAAGGTGTTTTGAAGTGCCAATTATTTAAATTTCAAAAGCTATCCCTATAGATGTCTTCACTACAATTTCCTGAAAAAATGAGACCCACTCAAATATCAAAGGCTGGATAAATTTAAATAAAAGCCCAATTTGGGGTCAGATTATTTCCGTTAGCCCAAGTTAATGAGAAACTCTCGTCTATTATATTAAAACCGAAACGAACTTAGTCCGACGATCACTTTTCAAAAAAATATATATCTTAGTTACTGTTACGTACATTTATAATAGCACACCTACAAAAATTATAATTACTACAACAGACGAAACGACGTATAATAATAAGTGTAATAATACATTATTCTAGTTTCACTAAAAAGCTAATCAAGAGCCGCGGAAGACTTAACGGGTTGCCGGTCGAACGGCAGGAGTAGGAACGGGGTGGTTTTTAATCAGTAAGAGTCTGACACTCCCCGCCTCACCCGGGCCGGAGAAGTCATTCGATGATTTTTCCCCCCTTAAAGATAAGAACAATGTACGTTATTATTTTGTTCTCATATTTAACTACTACTAATACAAGTTATACATATACCAGTAGTATAACGTAACGGTACGGCTCAAATTATAGGTTACCTATTGCATGGTCATAAAGCGAGTATTCTCAGTAATCATCTTGTTACTAGCAGTAACACCCTTGCAAGAGGTGAGAGGTATCATATTAGTACTTTGAATGACATAAAGATCACTGCAAATATGTAGATACTTGTATTTGTACCTATATCGGTGAACATTTTCGCTTTGAGAACTCTAGAACATTGTGATTCAGTTCAAACTTTGATCATACAGATTTTTTTGTGATATTATAAATATATATAATAGATACTTAAATTGATAAAACATTGGCAAACAATATAGCTAGAAATACACATCTAACGAGTATCTTGTTTACAAAAGCGATTTGTTTGTTCTTTATAGGTTAATGGTATTGTAATAGTAGGTAAATATAAATGGATATTTAGTCGCTTATTTGAAAGTATCTATACAGTGGGCGTTATAAAGACAAAAGTAATAGATAAAGGGCAGACGGGAGAATAAAGAAGTCTATTATAAATATAATATTGTGACTGCAATTATTATTATATTATGCAGGTTTTAATAAATTTAATTTCTTTCCCCAGATACCGGTGGTGGCGGCAGTGGCATTAGGAAGTTGTACGCACTCCGCCCTCTCAGACCTACCGGCAACATCAGGTGGGCTTTTGTATTTTCATCTTTTCTTCTGTCCCTTAAACTTAAAGTTCATCTTCTTTTTCTTTCAACTACTTTCTCCTAAGTTTTTGTATTTATTTCTATCTACATTCTATTTGTACATAAGTAGTTGGTCATTGTACATTCCCCACCCTCCACAGGTACCTTAATTTTATTTCTGCATTACTATAATTAAGTCTAAAATATCGTTGTACGTAGATCTTACAACCGCAGATCTCTCGTGGAGGCGGACGGTGGCTACCCGGGTGCCAACCACCATGACCCTGGCCTGCTGTGGACCGGACTCGGCCGGTAGACGACACACTCACACACCCGACCAATACACACCCACACACTCATACACCGACACATACACTCACAGTGACCAACGTAACAGAATGAACCATGTAGTACAGCCACGGAAACCGCCGCATGTTTCACATTTGAAACCAAATTATTTAGATGTAAGTGGTGTATCGCTACCGGAGATTATTTTAGCTCTGCAGGAATATTGCTATCTGTGAAACTTATACTAAGTACGGTATCTAGTCGACCTCTGATCTAGTCAATCGAAAGTTTGGACTAACTTGACAATCCTAAGATTGTAACTTTACAATTAAACTTTGACTTTCACATTCAGTTCTTTAAATCGTCTCCATAGATTTACTACGACAGTAAGTTTCTTTCAAAAATGTCTTGGGATTTTCAAGCTGAATTTGTTATAGAACATTTTTCCATAATCCCTATTTCAAGTAGATGTAAGCATTTTGCCCATGAATGTATTATTAAAGTACCTACCTACTTAATGGTTATTAAAATAAATTTAGAAAGGCATATTACTATTCATTTACTATTGTATTTGGAAAATCTTATATTTCCATTGTAACATACTATTTAAAAGATTACTTCGATATTGTGGACTTTCTATTGAAAATGAAGTTACGTTTTCTACTTGATGTCTTTATGAGAAGTGTAAGCCGATTTGCACCTTCAAACGATCAAAGACGATGTGTGTAAGTCACATACATGAACCTAACATTTAGCTTGTAAAGGACACATTATTAAAAGACTATTGATTTTTAAAACACAAAAACGCTGAAAAATTATTCTGAATTAAATTTTCCTACGATTTAGTACTTATATTTTTATGTTGCTATTGAATTGTGAATTATTTATTTTATTTATTGGATAACTCGGGCAACTATTATGGCCATTAGATTTACATTTTTTTTAATTAGCGGCTACAGCAACGTGGTGCACTGATTTATAAATGGGTTCAGAATTTTCCAACAATACTAAACGTGTCGTTTCTTTGTTATGATCCCATATTTATAAAATGTATTAAATTATTATAGGTAGTTAACCAAAGATTCCTGTACCTATTACTTTATGTAAACGTTGAAATTTTGGCTCTTTATGGAAAGAATAATGTACCTAAATGTATGTCTAATCGAAGTTAAATATCTACTCTAGATAATTAAGTACCGTATGTAAACTAACACCGAATATAATTTGTATTATTATTTACGTATTTATTATAAATTTACTTAATCATAATTTCTTGTTTACATTTCAAACAATTTACAATTTATCAATTGTCACAATTAAATGAATTTCTATTAACGATATATTCATTTAATTCGTTGTAAGTTTACATACAAGAATAAATGTTTCAATAAAATATTTAATGTAAATACAATTTTATCTCCATCGCATTTACATTTTATTAAATGTACGTTTAGCAATTTAAACGGATTAATTATATTATTATTATTAGAGTAATATTTAAATTTAAGTATTTAATTGTCGCGATATGTTTATGAAATTAATGATATATTACATTGCTGATGTGTTTTATTTATTGAATACCTGGTTTTCTAAACTTAACACGACATCTTAGTACATAGGTAATAGTGGAAAAGACGGGCCTCAATCATTCATATGATTCAGATATTATACGGTAGGTAAATAGGTAGCTTAATTCCTGCTTCAAGCTCTGTCAAAGGAATTTCTCATTACTAAGAAACTTGCAATATCTATTGAACTAGTAATAAACTTCTGCATATTCATAGCAAACTTGAGTACCTATTTGTTAATGTACACAAAATCGATATTTGGATATTTGTAATTTGATACAACCATTGCTATTAGTGTTGTGTAGACGACGACGCCACCGTTACACAGTATTAGGTACACAGTGATTAATAAGTGATCCTTACTAATATTATAACTAAAGACGAAAGTGCGTTTCTTTTCGTGTTGAAGCGATTACATGGTATGATTTTCGTTTCTGAAGACACTGAATTTAAGGAGTGACAGGTCGACAGAAATAAATTCTTAAATCATTTAAAAACACAGGTGAAGCCGCTGGTAGCAAAAAGTTTTGCAATATTTACCTTCTTGCAAGACCAATAACCGTATTCAGATGTGACTTATGATAACCTACGCTACGCATTTGCTTCCTCGTTCACGTTTTGTGATAGTCATACAAATAGTATCTAAGATATGAGACAGTACATTTACCCGTGACCAATTGCTGGTAATTCCATAGCCGTTTGGACAAGAAACACTTCCTTATTGTCAGACAATCATCATAATAGCCCCGAACGACTGATCGACATTTCGGAAGACATTATTTAATCTAACTAGATTGTGGTAACGACCTGCGCCCACTATGTACTTCTGTCTTTAGTACTAGTAGTAATTCAGATCAAACGAAGATTATTATAGGAATTTAGTTATGTACAGTGTATTAGGTACATAACATAGGCACATTAGGTCACTCCTTTCACAATTCAATGTTATCTATATCAACTTTTCACTAGTTATGATATAAGTCCCCTGTATTAGGGATTGATTTCCCATCTAATGGCGATGGGATTCAAATCTTCACCAATTACTTTACTGAGGATATTCAGAAACCAAAAAGTTCGATGCGACTATCTGAATTCACATCAACAATATGAAGTCAGTAATTGAAAAGTAGTACATAATAAGTTTTTATTTATGGAAATCAGTACCTACACGTAAAACTCATGCTTTCGAAGAGCACCTGCAAATTCAGATTTAAAAAACAATTAGGTACTAATAAAAGTTATCTAGTGGACCAACACAAGAATGACATCTTTACTATCCCTAACCGCAGCAGATAAGTAAAGTATATGTACCTAATTCATAGTAATGAATGATCCGTTTATTAAGGGGGGAAAATCATCGAATGACTTCTCCCGCCTGGGTGAGCCGGGAGGGAGTGTCAGACTCTTAGCGACTAAACACCAGCCCGTTCATACTCCTGCACTTCGAGCCGGAGCCTCCTACGGGCAGCAACCTCTTACGTTCTCCGCGGCTCCGTATCGGCAATGAATGACCCTAAGACAACAGATTGGATCAAGTTATTTTCCACTACAAGGGGAATTTACAATTGATGGACAACACAACAAAACAAAAGCTTTAAGTATTAGATAGATTTTTTACTCCTCTTTAGCGGTAGTCGTAGCGTGAAGTCATGGTGGCCCGGAGGTTAAGACGCCCACTTCTCATGCATGAGGGTGCGGGTACGAAACCTACCAACGGCCGGTACCAATGTAACTTTTTCCGAGTCATAATATATACTTCCTAAAATAATTTAGACACCACAGACGGTGAAGGAAAATATCGTGGGGAAACCTGGACTTTTAATTTCTAAATATACGTTTGAAATCGCCAACCCGCAACTAGCAAGCGTGGTGATTAATGCTCAATCATTCTCCGTGTGAGAAGTGGTCTTGCCAGCAGTGGACACCTATAGGCTGTTGATGTTGATGATGATGATGAGCGGTAAACCAAAAACATATTTAACCATAAATCCTTACTCCTTACTTATATTATAAATCGGAAAGTGAATTTGTTTGTTTGTTTGTTCCGCTTTCACACCGTAACTACTAAACCGATTGCTTTGAAATTTTACAGACGTAAACTTAGAACTCTGGATTAAATAAAAGGGTACTTTTTATCGCGGAAAAAATTGATATTTCCGAGGGGAAAACCAAAATATTTGTATAGATGGCGCTGTGTGTATTGGTATAGATGGCACTGTATGTCATTTAAAAGTAGTCAACGAATTACCTACTTATTGGAAAAATCTAAATAGCGTGATATAACCGAATTCCACGCGAGCGGAAAGCTATTTGTTTGTTTGCCTGTCTTAAACGGCAGAACGGAGGTACTAATTAACGTGATTTTTTAACTGAAGGTAGTTGAAGGGATGGATAATTATATAGGCTACTTTTTATCCTTTCGTGTCGCGAGCAAAACCGCGGGTAAAAGCTAGTAAATCATACATTAAACGTACTTTTACTTACAAGTTTCAGATATTTAGATAACATTAAAAATAAGAAAATATTTGCCACCTACATTATGTTTGGAACTTAGTTGCACTAAGACACGGCAATTTATGAAGGCCATTACAAGTACAACCCCTCACAAGTTAGGAAACCCTTTCTTAGATCTTGTAAACCAATAAATAAACCTGTAAAAGCAAACATTACAGTCCCTTTAACAAGGGCCGTCTTAGACTACGCTGGGACCCTTGACAGAATAATTTGGTATCTTTATTTTTTAACATTGCTCCATACTGGGACTTTCTTCTGTATCGTAGGTATTTACAAACATACAAGCTCACATGCATGTTACGTATCGGTGCCGACACATGTACCTACACCGTGATCAACGCCGAGCCACGAGGACCATATCTGCTGAATCAGGACATTAGACCTACTTTGATGCAACGAAGTATTGACCCAAACTGCTGAGTCGTCTCCTCGTGTCCAGCTGCGAATCGCTGCATCATCAATCACCCCACTAAATTTAACCTCAATAGGTTTTATTGAAAACCATCTTTCGAAATAATTTTAAGGGAAGAAAGAAGTGTTGTTCTAACATCGAACGCATTCGCACTTAGGTTAGTTGGATTTTAAGAGTTAACATGTAATTTTAATTATAATAAATTTAGTAAAATGGTCATAGTTTCCTTTTGCACCCTCCTTCGGTGGCAGAAACATAACTTACACATGACAACCAGACCCGAAACAACAATTTGTGGATCACACAAACAATTCGCTCCGTGCTGGAATCAAACCTGGAAAGCGGGTGTCTGTCGTAGAAATAGTTGACCCTTCGGGGCCCCTGAGGATGGGGGCCCTGGGCACAGGTAAAGACGGTACTGCTTTTAAAGGGTGTAAAAGCTGAAACATAGTTATTACTGTTATCACTGACATATATATTGAATCAGGGGTGTTATCAAACATATTTATAGTAATAATTACCCACATTTATCAA